GAATTGAGTCCTCCTCCCCAAGAGTACTCTTGAAATTGGTGTATGGAGAGCATGTTGCCACTCTGTGTTCATCTCTCAGTCAGACACATGTCTCTGTTATTCTCCCTGTACCCCAAATATCCTGAGATTTTCCCCTAAGTCAGCTCCAAATGGAAACCGACAGAAATTCATTTATTCTCTGTAAACGTGGCACCAGAATCCCCTGAAGCATTCTTGGTGGAGTCCAGCCAGTGTGAAGGCACCTTTTCTAGTTAAATTCTGTTTTTCTGTCACCCTGTCCAGCATCTCATCACCACACACACCATTACTACAGTTGTAAACAGCCCAGGTTCCAACTCTGTTTTTTCTACTTTTTTTTCCCTTCCACCTTTTAGCTGTAAGATTTTTGGCCAACTACTTTTTTTTCAGTTTCTTCATTTGTAGAACAGGGGCAGTATTTGAGCCTAGGGTTAACACAAGAGTTAAGTAGGTTCATGAATGTGAAGAGCTTAGAAGTATGTCTGGCACCTAGGAAATGGTATGGAAGCATTAAAACGGGATGAATGTCCCTTACCCCAAATACGTGGGACCAGAGGTATGTCAGTGTGGGTGTTCTTTAGGAATTTTGAAGATTTTCATATGCATATTGAGCTATCTTTGGGATAAGATTCAAGTCTAAACTCAAAATTCATTTATATTCCATACATACTTTATATCTATGTAGCCTAAAGGTCATTTTAAATCGTATTTTTAGTGCTACTTCATTTTGACTTTAACCCATCTCACAAGCACAGGTACAGAATTTTCCATTGTGGCATCATTTCAGTAGGCTGTTCAACCTGTAAATAATACTGTGCTTCATAAGAATGCCATCAGTGTGCCCATCCGGGTCATTCCCGAAGCTGCCATGCTGAGTCCACTAGCATTGCAGTCTCTAGACCACCACTGATTCAATACAGGACTAAGCTGTCTGAGACCATTGTGAAGAATTCCATCTTGTCCTTGAGGGTATCTGCCATGAGCCAGGTACTGTCGTGCTAGGCAGTGAGGATATGATTAGAAGTAAACCATGGTCTTTGCCCTCACCAGGGTCCCAGAATAAAAAGGAGAGAAATGATGAGCTAAAGGGTGATCCCTGGGAGGCAGGTATGTATCAAAACCACAAAAAGCACAGCTTTAGTTCCACAGTCTCCTACTAATGTCTATTCTAGAATGGAAGGAAAACAGAAAAACTCTTGAAGACATTTGTGAAGCTGTCACTATTTACAGATAACCTTCCCTTTCGTGCTATCACTGCCCATCATGGCTCTTGGCTTTCCCATCTTAGGAGATATTCATTGGCTTTGCCAATGTGGTAGCATTTTATTTGTAAACAAATTTACTTATTCAGAAGTGATTCACATTTTAGTGCCTGTTCTCCAAGGGAATTTAAACTGCACTGGGGAGGCTTTGACATTATTACTTGACTATGAGAAGAGCAAGGGTCCAATGATGGTCAGCCTTGAAAAGAGTTACAGAGTTAGTTCACATGTTCATGTACCAAGTGCATGTGATCTGTAGAGGACTCAGCACCAGCAGTACAGCCTCAGACCCAGACCTGTGTTTACTCTTAAATGCTATTAATAGTCTGAGGGGGTTGTTTTGTATTTTTCTAAGACAGGATCTCACACTACTTAGCCTAGGCTGGCCCAGAGCTCACTATGTAGCCCCACATGGCCTCCAACTCATGCCAGTTCCTCTACCTCAGCCTACTAAGTGCTGGGATTATTGGGATTATAGGCATGAACCACCACACACAGCTCTCTTTGGTTTCTCACTGATTACAAAGGGACTTGACTGTACAAAATTGCTCAATGTGGTCAACTCCCTCATCAACAGTGAACTGTAAAGGCTGTCTTTCCAGAATCTGACCATCTCTGGACCCTGAGCTGTTGGATAATGCTCAGAGATGCACATGGAGAAGGGCCAGATGCTATTCTGTCATTATATTTCCAAACATACTGGCTTCTAAAGTCCCTAGTATCTTTGTTACTTAAAACTGTGCAATCTGAAAATCCCTCTAGCCATCTGTACTTACAAGGAGAAGTTGTGTTTCCTCATTTGTATTTAATCAGAATATTTTTCCCATCAGAAGTTCTGAGCCCTATGAGAGCACTCACTGGTGCTTCCTAACTCCCATAAGAAACAGCATAGCATAGCATAGCATAGCATAGCATAGCATAGCATAGCATAGCATAGCATAGCATAGCTTAGCATAGCATAGCATAGCATAGCATAGCATAGCATAGCTTAGCATAGCATAGCATAGCATAGCATAGCATAGCATAGCTTAGCATAGCATAGCATAGCATAGCATAGCATAGCATAGCTTAGCATAGCATAGCATAGCATAGCATAGCATAGCATAGCTTAGCATAGCATAGCATAGCATAGCATAGCATAGCATAGCTTAGCATAGCATAGCATAGCTTAGCATAGTATAGCATAGCTTAGCATAGCATGGATAGATGATAGATAGATGATAGATAGATAGATAGATAGATGGGATGGTCGGTCGGTCGGTCGATAGATAATAGCTAGCTAGATAATAGATTAGATAGATAGATAGATAGATAGATAGATAGATAGATAGATAGATAGATGATTAGATAGACAGATAGACAGACAGACAGACAGACAGACAGACAGACAGATGCATGCTAGAGTCCTACTAAAAATATCCATGGACCCATACTGCTGCCTTAAGGGAATCCTGGTCATGAGCTACTACATGAGATGTTCAAGTTCACGGTCTTGCCAAAACCTTTGTGGGTTGCCAGATTTCAGTTGTTGCTTCACAAGTGAAACAGGCCATTTTCTTGAGCACTGAGGTATTCCCCAGCTTGGCCTCTCTGTCTAGAAAGTGCCATTTTCGTAAAGAGCTGTCATGCTCTGTGTCCTTTGCCTTGTGATTTAGCAGTTCGGGGAGAGTGCAGCTGCTCCTGCTCGCTCTGTGCTGGTGATATGTGTTTTTGTTTTATTAAATCTTTAAAATACTGGGCTTGTTTTTTATGATCCCCATATATTCTTTTGTTCTTCTTCATGACTGGTTAGATCACATTTTTGCTCCCTTTGTAAAAATATTAGGGCCTTTCTGAAGAACACTGTGGTCTCCAGAGCAGCTGCCTAATAGAGTGGAAGGCTGTGTGGTGCTAACAAGTGGCTGCGTAGAGGCTGATGCGAGTGTGTCACACTCACACAAGGTCCACGGAAGTGCAGGTCTTCTGGCTCTTGCCAGACTTGCCTTGATAACACTCAAATCATTTGGCACATATCACAGGGCTCTTTATGAGATGAAGACACCAAAATGGCTTCTGTTCCCATTATAGACAATTTGTTGTGATTAAAGGTTGCTAAGAAACTTGTTAAGTAGAAGCCAGATCTTGGCCAGGTATGAACTTGTGCATTCAAGCCCTGGGGCTCACATCCAATGCACTGGGACCTTAATTCTTCAGACTCAATGGAAACTTTTCCTTGAAAATGCTGAGGAAGAAGAGAGCATCCTGTTCTGAATTCTCAGGGGACCCAATCCCACCCCATCCCCTGCAGTACATCTAATAGATGGTCCCTACACAAAGGAGACTCAAAAAGTTTGAATTAATCTTGAATACAACCAGCCTACTCTAACTGATATGAATCCCCAAATAAACCAGTCCGTGACATCCAATTGAACTTGTTCCTGTGCATACAGTATCTCAACCCATCCTGTGCTGTTAGTTTTGGCAAGTATACTACAGCATATAATAAATCATAGAAGGAAAAAGCTTTTGGCCTAGCATGGTTCAGCCTGCTGTGATGTTAGAATACAGAAAGCAGTTCTGTTTTTAGGCATCCTTTTACTAACCCAGCATTCATAATTTATGATTTCACTGTAAAATTCCTGCAACACTACACCAAAAGTGGTACTGCCCTTTAATTAAGTACTCTCGGTAGGAAAAACGCGAAACTGATGTGCAAAACGTCTCTCTGTGCAGTGATTGATAGTGATTGCATCTTTATGAACCCAGCCTAAAGGTCTCAACTTCCTGATGGGTAAAGTTGTCCGTAGGGCTGCTTCCTGAGTCTGCCTGGCAGAGATCAGTCACTGCTAACAAAATTGAAGATAATTCAGAGCAGGGAACACAACTCAGAAATACCGAACTATTAAGCCTGTCTGTTCATACTTTGTCACAGTCTCTATGATTCGCCCCTTGTTTCTGTAAGAGCTTATGATCAAAATTTCACGCTATCTGTGCACTTGGGTTGTGATACAAAGAATAGAATGTAAAGTAGGCTATCTCTTCAAGCATCCTCCTCTGACATTTGGACTTTTTTTAAAGTGGAAATAATGAATCAGGGGGTACCTCTGGCCCCATTGGTGCACGAACAGAACATGATAGCCAGAGAGAACTTTAATCTGTTCCATTGTTTTACATTCTTTTTCAGTTATATTTTTGGAGATGATGTCCTACTATACAGCTTAGATTGACCTCCAACAGAGGTCCTCCTGCCTCAGCCTCCTCCTGAGTGCTGGGATTAAAAGCATGCACACCATGCCTAGTTGTTCAGACATTTCCTTCCTTCATTGAAAGTGAGCAACTTTAATTTTTAAAATACTACCAGGAAATGTTAGAAGACAAAACCCCTGAGCCAGGTCTTCCCTGGCTCCTCACTGCTTCTACTTTGGTTTGTAATTGCCCTCAGCTAAGATGGGATCTCCACAGCCTCAGCTCACAGCACCTGCTGCAAGGTCTTATGGGTGTATCTAGATCAGAAATACTTCTGGCTCCTGGAAAGAAAAGGAACAGGTCCCTCAAGGTAGCAATGGTTGCATTAAATCAGATCTTGGGTGTGGGCTCAGCTGCTCCCAGTCATAAGAACAACCAGCAACCAAAACAAATGGATATAATCCACTCGCTTAGCTGTCTTGTCTGTGTCTGAGATGACTGTGTTCTGGGCTCTGTTAACAGTGAGCATGCATGTCCTTTCTGGTGTTTTTGCAGGTTCGGTCCAGGCTTGGTCATCTATTGGTATGGGTTTATCCAGGAGCTGGACTGCCACCGGGAGAGGGGCATCCTGCTCAAAGCCTGTTTCCCCACAGACATCGTCACCTTATGCCATAGCACAGCTTGACCCTGAAGATCCTGGAAGAGAAGCTGGAGGAAGAGGCGAATCCGGAAGCAATTTGACTTTCCTGCAGTGTAAACTCCTGGCAACATCTTCCCTGAACTTCAGCTGAACCCTTGCTGCTGCGGTCACAGCCTTACCTCTCTAGACAAACATATCAAGAGTTTCTGTTTTCCTTCATCCCTTGCTGATGTGAACAGCCAAGAACTACAGACACAACCCACTCATTATCAGCATTTCTGTCTCTGTCAAGCAGTTAGTTTATAGATAGTCATAATCTTTCTTCCTTCCGGATGGTTTCTCCTTGTATATTGAACAAAAGAAAAAAATGTGGAGACTGAAAGGTATGATTTTTCAATTCTCCTCCCTGTTATCAAATCACCCCCTTAGTTTTTTTCTAAACCTCCATTCATTCTCCCTTCCTCCTCCTTTCTCTTCATGGGCACTCGGGTACCAAGTGTTGCATTACATTACCTTCATGGGATAGCCTAGCACAAACTTAGAAAAGCTGGAGACAGGAAGTGGAAATTGAACGTTCCCTCTCAACAGTGGGACTCTGTGGACCTGGGTGGAAGCTTCTATAGTCTCCTGATTTCTGTGGCATTCAGCCAAGCTGCAAAAATCCCCTTGGTGGGAATTTCTTTTTTCATAATGCTTATTTGAACATCAAGCATTTTACATTAATCTCATCTTAAAGTATGAGTTAGGTTGTGTCTGGAAGACCATGCTTCTTTGGCTCGGGGCTGAGAGAAAGGATGCTAACTTGGGCTATGTTGTCCAGTGTGGACCATGCTACCTGCTGGTACAATGCTACCCAATGTTTTTATGAAATTTTTTTAAAATCACATTCATAAATACTGCTTTGTGTCTGTATTTTATACCACATAATTGTATACCACTCAATTTAGGCATTAAAAATAGCTTTGAATGAATTAAGTGTACCAGAAATAAATTTAGAGTGGTTTTTAAATAAAGCAAAATAAAAGAGATTTTTGTATTTATTCACTTTAATTTATTTACTTTTATGTACTGCAGACCAGACTTCAGTGTGTAGTAAAATATCAGTAAAATAATTATAAACTTATCTTTTGGGAAATTAAAAAGTGTATCTAAAAAAAGTGATTAGTAGAAAAAAAATTTGCCCTCATATGCTTTTAAAATGTAGGTTTTGTAATGTTGAATGGTTTTGGAAATATTAATTAAAATATAATGTTTGGAAACATCTTAAGTCATAAAATGATTCTTTTTGTACCTGGAAAGTACAAAACACAGCCTGTTGCTTTCCTACTGAATGACAAAAACATGGCAGGTCCAAGATGGGATTTCTGACTTTCCAGTAAGACTGCATTAAATGACAGGAGATGTGATCAAATGGCAAAGAGGCACCAGGCAAACTTCTATTCCAGCAGAAGAAGCTTTGTACAAGCTTTGAGAGTAAACAGAGTGACTTGAGGCCACTACTACTGATGCGTGTGTGCGCGCGCGTGCGCGCGCACACACACACACACACACACACCCTCTAAAGAAAAATAAAATCAGGTTTCATGGGCATGCTCTGAGCTGCTGCTTTTCTGTAATAGTAAATTACATGTATCTGCACAGATGTTGAAAACCCTGCTAAGCCCTTGTCAAAGATGTGCTTGTTTAACAGACAAATTTATGATGAGTGTGCACAAATAAATTTTAAAAAAATTAAAAGGTGCTTGCGTTTTGTATTTATTCTTCTACCTGGATCCCTGACCTAATGTGTTGTGAGAAGGTATTGGTGTTCCCAGCAGAGACACCTCCTTGTATTTATGAATGGGGCTTTAGAACTTGGCCTGTCAAAGTGAGAAAAAAAACAACAGTAAACTATGAGATAAGGTTATGGGTTACTCAGAAGTAAGCTCTTTCCCATTCAAAAACTAGTGTGATCATTGTGTCTGCTGTGTTTGAAGAAGAGGGGTGCAGAAGAGAAAGAAGTTAGGTTCCTAGATGGGAAGCTTAAAACGTCTTTGTTTTTTATTTTAAAATATTTCATTTGTTATTTTTAATATGTACGAGTGTATTGCCTGCATGTGTGTAACTGCACCCATGTTGTGCAATACCCAGGGAGATGAGAAGAGGGTGTCAGATCCCCTGGAACTAGAGTTACAGGCAGTTGTTAGCTGCCATGTGGGTGCTGGGAACTGAACCTGGGTCCTCTTCAAGCAGCCAGTGTTCTTAAAGGCTGAGCCATCTCTCCAGCCCCTTCTCTTTTATTTTTAAAAAAATACTTTTCTGTGGCCCATCTCTGCAGGCTGCTTGCTTGGTTTTTAGTTTAGGCAATACAAGCATCACCCTTATAAAACATACACCAAATGACAACTTAAATACTTTTAGGACTGTTGTCATTAGAACATTAATGACGTTAATGTTACAGCCAGTTTTTTGTTGTTGTTGTTGTTTTGTTCGTTTTGTTTTTTATGGACCATCTGCACAATGCTGATGAATTATGGCGAGCCAGGAAGCAGAAATGTGAGCAAAACTAAATGGCGCGCCCTCTGCCACACAGAGACTAGCTACGTGCGCATCTGCTCCCACAAACACTTGAGGCTCGACTTTGAAGAGTGGAGATGGACTAAGGGCAAAGCGATCTGAAACAATGACTGCGCACCCTCCCTCCTTCCACCCTTTCCTTCCCACTCCTGAAACACCATAAACAATTGAGAATCTTTTTCTTTTGCCTTCCAGTGAGGTGTACGTCAATGCTTTCACATATAAAAGGGAAGGCTTAGGGGCTGAAAGGAAAGCTGGACCTCCAGGGAAAGTAAAATGCAAGCGTAGGTGTATGTTCCTGCTCAGTACCTGCAAGGCTTGTTCCACTATGGAAAAGATGATTAATTTTTGGTCTTTGGGGATTGTATTAACTCAGGAGCCACCAGGGAGGAGACTGCTTGGAGCCCTGATGGAGGTAATTGGAATAGTCCCTGGCCTCCAAGCTAATCAACGCACAGCGCCAAAGTGAACAGTTAGTTCGCTCGACTCTCACGAGGGAACTGCCTGCCTTGTGTCCTTTCTCCATTGGAACCAAGATACCTGATGTTTGCCCTTTTAACCTGCTTCCGTGAATAGGCCTGGTGTGTCAATTGCATTCACTCTTCTGTGCACCGTGTGTTTCTTCCATTCTCCCCTTCTTGGTCATCCTTCCCTGCATTAACTTTCTCCAGCTTCCTCCCACATGGACATGTATCTGCACGTCTTCCTGTCTTCTTTCTAAACAAAGATCCCAAATGCAAAATGCATCTCATCTAAGTCCTTGTGCATAGAGTGGAGCGTGGGGAAAGGCTTGATCTAATCTCTTTGAGGAAAAACTAAACCCAAGCAGCCTTTCACATGCCAAAATACCAGAGTGTATAGCGGCACCTGTAGGATCCCAAAAACGCTGAAGGAAGGTAATAAGACCTCACAGAGTTAAATTCAGTTTGAGGTTTTGCCTTCAAGAAATGTTTTGACCAAAGGAGCCAAGGAGACGTGGAAAGTTTTAGAGCTTCTTTCAGCCTGAGTGAATGTGCTCAGCCCATCACAACTGTGAATTAAAATAGTAAAATGCCTGTGTGGCTCACCCATCCTGGGGCAGCTTGCCATTGCGCATGTGCTCTGGTTGCCTCATAGGATAACTATTCAATGACAAGAGTGGGAGGGACGCTCTCCCAGTGGGCACAGTCTTGATTAGGGTTAAGGAAGAAAGTAAGTATAAGCAGAGAGGAAACAGACTGGGCAAACAATGGGAGTCTGTCTGCAGTGTCACTGTGAGCACCTACCTCAACCTGCGTGCTTAGAGTCATTCTTAGCTTAAGGAAGGGTCACACGTGACTAAGTTGGGGTCATCTAATTACATGACTCCACACCAACCTTCCTATCTGTAGTAAATGTGATCTGAACCTGCTTTGTTAAAAGCATGCCCCAATTCTAAAGGTTAAATAAGAAAGATGGGATTATTAATTAAATAATAGCCAGAAGAGCTTGAGTTCCCCTTGTGTTTTTGGCTTTCCTGCTATTGTTTCGAATATGGATGTGAGACAAAGAGGCTGCTTAGGTCAAGCTCTATAAATTACAGTTTTCATACAATAGTAATCCACTAAAATGATTTCAAAGCTTGATCAAAGTACTTCAAAAAGCCTTTTAAAACTTTTCCACAATACACCGGGGAGAGGAAATGCTCATTTGATGCCTTGATTTCAGTTAGTGTAGCAGAGTTCAACTTTGATGCCATACCTACTTTATATAAAACCCAAATCATGGATCACATGAAACCAACTTGTTCTTCCTGCCTCACGTGTGACGTTTTCATCTAGTTACCTAGAACAACTCAACATTCGAGTCACATGTAAGGAAAATGCAGATATAATAGCAGTTTTGCATAAGCCTAGCTTGACAGTGTGTGTGTTCCTCAGGCTTTTGTCAAGCCTATCTAACCCCTGCGCTTAGAATAAAGTGGAGTCAGTGGGCTTATTTGGCATGTTAATAATCATGGCAACAAATACATTTATTTATTTCATCCCATTTCTCTCACTTGGATTTATTCTGAGCTGGTTTATGTCATGGGAAAGGATGCTGGGAAGTACTCTGGTGGTAAAGCAAAGTGAATTCTGGGCTCTGCTATGCATGCAGTGTGGGTAAACCAAAGCAACCACATCAGGCTCAACTGAAGACCCTTGCTACTACATCAGGGTCATTTTCATTTTTTTAAAGGAAGGTCACTTTGAAAGGCTAGCATGAAATATCACCAAGTCAATTAAGTAATAACAGTTGAAGTTCAGAGTTTAATTGAGGGCCAAACATGAAGCCAATGACCATTAACCTGAAATGCCCATTAATTCCCCCTGGAAACTGCCTTGGTTAAAGGTATTTCTAAAATAACTAGCACTTTTCCTTTAAAAAATGCCTTTTGTCAACTTTCACATTCAACACACATGCATTTGGAAATAATTTAGTGTGTCTATATAGACTTTCTGAGTTTTTTAATTTTTAATTGAAATTCTTTTAGAGGACTTAAAAGTCCAGATAAAACCACCTCTTCTCAGGAAACTGTAGCTCTTTCTAAGTAAATTGAAAGGTGTATGCTATTTGTATACTTAGTTCATATGTATCTTAATTGTTAGCATACTTGTTTCTGTGCTTGTTTCATGTAAAATCCCCAGCTCTTGTCTCCATGAGAGCAGAAACTACATTTATTTTATGAACTCCTCCATGTCCCAGGACCTTTCAAAATTCCTGGTGCAGAGCAAGTGTCCAGCAAATATTGTGTGAACAATGATTGTTAAATTTATGTCGAGTATGTTCTCACTTGCTTCAAACAAATAATTAGTACTGTTTTTCATTTCCTTCAGCTAAAATATGGATATAATTCCTGAAACCAGGCAAGCAGCATATATGTTGATGTTAAAGAAATAATTACTTTCAAAACCTACCAAATCTGAACTAAAGCACACTTACAAGAAGTCTTTTTTGGAAGCAGGCTTAGTTTTAAGGGGAAGTCATTGTCATTTCATTGCATTTGCATTAAGTAGCCCAAGAGCATTAACTTTATCCAGTGAATTGCTGAATGAAAATATTAGAAATCTTAACTTTCTTTTAAAAAATAGATTTATCTTCATCTTTTCAATTCTACTTTAAAAACAACTTCCCTTAAAATCGTATCACGGTCCCAAATCCAATGTGTTCCAAGTACACATTTTGGAATATTCAGGGGAGTTATTGGTCTACCTACAACCGGAACTTTTAATAGCTCACCTTTATAATGCCCAGTTGATAGCAAAATGCTTCCTGGCCATGAAACCAGTTGGCTGGCTCTAGAGAAAGAGTATCTGGTTATTTGCCAGCAGGATCTGACCTTTGGAGAGATGCTGTGCACAGCCTTCTCAGTGGGTACTTCCTTATTAGTCAGTAATCCAGAGGGCATCATCACGTGAAAGCCAAAGCGTGCTTCCTCATATCCTGGAAATGTGTAGCACAAAAGACCTGGAACTTCTCCATTTATTCTTTGCCCTGACAGTTTCTCCGAGCTTAATCTTTGGTATGCAACTTTCTTTCTCCATGGCTATCTGGAAAACACTGAGCCAGGTCGTTGCTGGATGAACGTGATACTTCTCAGGGGTTTCTAGCACTAAGGCTATTTAAGACACAAATGTTTATCAATCTCATAATGAGTATTTACAAGTATTTGAAGCACTGTGGGAAGTTTTTAATGTAATAGAAGGCCATCCTTCTTGGAGAAAACTCATGACTTGTCAAAGTGGGAACATTAAAGACTTGAAATTTTCAGAAAAGATAATCATAGTGCAATAAGGAAAGAAGAAACACTGTGAGCTTTTAATAAGTTATTTTAATCAAAGTCTGTGTTCAG